CCATCATCATATGCTAAAGTAAATTGCTGTAAAATGTAGAACTCATGATAATGTTTGATTTGATATGCTATAAGACTGAATTTGTTTTCAAAATATTTGACCCCATCCCTCTGGGCCGGCCCCTAGGGATCATATTTAAAATCCAAACGTGTTGTGAACTTCTCCATACATATCTTCTATGTTTAAAGTGTTTCAAGTTCCTATCTGAAACAGCGTGGAAAAAGTTATTTACCCTTTAAGTAACCCCCACCCCATGTCCATATGCTAAAATAATTTGCTTTAAAATGTAGAACTCATGATTATGTTTGATTAGATATGCTATAAAACTATATATTAAAAAAAAAATGACCCCCATGACCTCGCCCCTTCTGGCCCAGTCCCTATGGGTCATATCAAAAATCCTTAAGGTCATAGGAGTGTATTGCTAAACAGAAAAATACATCCCTAGTTGAAAATCCAATGTATACCATGTAAAGTTTCAAGTCCCTACCTTGGAGATGTCGTTTCAAGGCAAACTGTCAAATTTCCCCCCTTAGGACCCCGCCCATCTGTCCCCAGGGGGGTCAGGGACTTCATTTGTAGATGCTTCCTGCCAAATTTGGATGAAATCTGCCCGGTAGTTTCAAAAGAACTAGAATTTGCCCAAAAACTTTAACCAATTCCGGTATCCAAAAGACTTGTGTTTCGGACCAATAATGAGCAAATTTGAGCAATTGCTGTGACCATATCACAATGTAAAATTAATTAAAAGTCGAGTTAAACACCAAAACACAACTTGCCCAAAATCTTTTACCGAGGCCGACGCCGTGGATACTGCTAAAGCCCCCCCTATTCTTCGAATAGACAAGCTTATAACCTGGTTTTAATAATAGACATTGATCCACTCTCCATGCAGCTTCAGTTAAATAGGGATTGAATCTGTATTTTTCCAGTGTTCATGCAAGTATGAACCAGTACAATTTTACTTACACACCACATGAGCGGCCATATTTATCTATTTTTAAAACTTCTAATACTTAAATTAAATAAGAAAAAGATACAATCATGACAACAACAAAAAAGTAGATCTTGCATTTTTTTTACACTGCGAGTTTAGTTTAGGTAGCAGAGTACAACAAAAATGGCCTGATCACATGATCACAGGTACTAGCCTCGTCTGTCAATACACCCATAATATAATCTTATAGGTGTATTGACAGACAAGGCTAGTGCCTGTGGTCTGATCCAACATGAATAGTGGATTCAACCTGCACATTCATAAACTGCACTTTAACCCTTTCACCACTGAAGACCTTAATGGACTCATCCATATCAATGCATGGTAGAGCCTACTAAAGTTACATAGGGGTGAAAGGGTTAAATAATTTTGTTTAAAGGACTTTTTCAAAAACTGTTTTCCCCAGATTTGGGACTTGTGAAAACCATGATTACCACATCAAAAAACACCAGAAATGCCCCAAAAAAGTGATTTTTAACCCAAAATTTGACCACACAAGTAGTAATTCTTTTCTTAAAACCTGTCTTTTAAATTAAATATTGCCAACTTGGTAACAGAAATACACACATGTAACGTTAGCATAGGTCATTCCGGTGGACTTTTCACAAATGCCCAAAACTAGTTTCAAACCCATTTTTTTTTGGGGGGGGAAAAATTATGAAGCCCACATAGTCCACTTCCATCATGTATATGCCAAATTTAGTGCTGATTTAAAAAAAAAAAAAAAAAGATACTTGTTATATTACAGGGGTTATTCATTGTACAAAAATATCACCCATGGCCATCGTACGCTACTGTACATTTGTTACCGTGGGCAATGGGAGACAACTTGAACGACAATTAAACTGAAAAATGGGAATTTGGATTTTTTTTAAAAGTAGTCCCATGGAATTAATTATCTTTATCCTGCAACTTGTTGGTGTGAAGTTCTATCAAGTTTGTCCAAATAAATGACCGTGACCGTTTTTGGTCAAAGGGTGTGATAAAGCTGAAACAACTTAAGGATGAAGCGTGACCTTGGTTGATCGTTGGCGACCAGATAGCCCGATTGGTTAGAGCGTCAGTCTCGAGTTCAGGTCCTTGGTTCGAATCCTGGTCTGGCGGTGCATTTTTCTGCTCCAGTTACAGAGGTGCATGTGACCAACCCTTGTTTCAAGCATTGGGTGTATGCTCCGCAAAAGGATATCCAACCCGAGTTGCAAATAGAAATATCTTCCGGGATGAAGGCTTAGCAAAAGGATGGAGGAATGTATAGCAGTACTGGACTGGGTCGATCGTCGGTAACCAGATAGCTCATCAATTGCATACTTGCAAACTCTTCCTATTCAGGAGGGAGACTTCCGATTTTTTACCCTTAAATTTAGTTTTTTCAACTAGTGAATTTGCTAAACTATTCCTATATTCTAAGATCTGATGATTTTATCTGAGAGAACAACTCCGAACACATGTCATTTTTAAGGGTTATTTTGTCTCTTGGAGGTAAATACACATATTTTACTAAGGTTATAAATTTTAGAGTGCAGAATCTCCCCTATGGAAATCTCAAAAGGTTGGTAAGTATGTACTTGTTGAAGCATCAGTCTAAGAATTCGAGCCCAGGCCTGGCTGTGCATTTCTTTTTCTCCTGTTACACCAAGATACAGGTAACACAATTATCTTTTCAAATACATGAACTTGATCCAATTTTGAACGTCCCATGAGTAATATAAGTAAAAATCTACCATCAGCTGTAGAGCAACGAAATATAGTCCGTTTTGTTTACACGCCGTCAAGTTATTTTAAAATAGTTGACCTTGAACCACTGAGGTCATGAAATTGCAACGAACATTGAATAATAGGTATGTAATGAATGCTTTTGTTTATTTGTGTATATCCGACGTACGTGTCATTGTAAAATCTCTGAAAAATCTGTTTAATTTGTCATTTTCATCCTGAGAAAATATCCTTGAATTATATTTTACCAGATAATTTCCTATACAAGTGAATCTCGATACCATAAAGATATTGGGGTTATGAAGCAAGTTGTCTTCAATGAAAATGGTTTGGTTTAATGGGGTAAACCCCTTCATCACTAGACCATAATGAACTCATCAAGATCAATGCATCGGAGAGTCTACTAAAGCTGCATAGGAGTGAAAGGGTTAAGTGTCAATGTAAAAGCTTAAGTTATGTGGAGAACAGTTGAGAAGTTTCTCCTGTGTGTACGTGTACTTGAGGCCAGGGCCCGTATTCATGAAACCGTTCTCATGCTCAAACCAGCTTTCTCGTAACTCACTTAAATCATGTAAAACAATCAAGAACTATATGTAAACATTGACAAGAGGCCCAAGGGCCTTAGCGGTCACCTGAGTTATATTATAGGTACCGATAGATTTATTTTATTGTTTAGATGTGATGTAAACTAAGTGAAATACAATACTTGTCATGTCATCAAAGGATAAGAATTTGAAAATATTGGTAAATGTTCCCTTTGGGGCCCCGCCCTAGCCCCTGGGGAGGGGGCAGGAATCCCAATTTTACAAAGTAATACTCTAATGCACCAAAGATGATTCCGACTAAGTTTGAGTAATTTTCTCCTGAAAGTGGATAAAATATACCCAAAAGTGTTATTTCCCTATATAAATTATAGCAGTCTGGGGGAGAAAATTTTGGAAATATTGGTTAATTTTCCTTTTGGGGGCCCGCCCTCGCCCCTAGGGTTGGGGTAGGAATTTCAATTTTACAATTTGAAACCATCTTCCTCCAAGGATAATTCTCGCTAAGTAAAAACAATTTCCTACAGAAAGTTGTCAAAATATCCCCAAAAGTGTTATTACCCTATATAAACTATAGTAAACTTTACCCCCTCCCCAAGGGAGAACAAATAGCTCGGGGGTCCTGAAATTTACAATTTAAGTAAAGCCACTGATGATCTTTCTTTCCATGCAGAGAAAATGACTGTAGTACCTCTGAGTCTGGAGAAGAAGATTTTTGAAATATTGGTTAATTTTCCCTTTGGGCCCCGCCCTGGCCCCAGGGGTTGGGGTAGGAATTCCAATTTTACAATTTTGTAGCCTCATCTACCAAGGATGATTCTGACCAAGTTTGAAAAAAATCCATCCACTGGTTCTCGAGAAGAAGTTGAAAATGTAAAAAGTTTACGCACAACGGACGGAAAGGGATTAGAATAGGTCACTTGAGCAAAGCTCAGGTGACCTAAAAACAGTATTCAGCTTTAAGTCATCAAATTTTTCCAAATAATTGAAACAAGACCCAAGTACAAAAACAATGCTTGAGCATGAGAACGATATCATGAATACAGGCCCGGGTATGTTGGATCTGATGCCAACTTTAGGGTACTACCTCACTGAAATACCATGCCAAAGGCATCCAACGCATCATTCCACCCGAAGACATTATACTGGCAATGGGTACCTTGATCCTTACAACTACTTTCTTTTCCCTTTCACCCCTATGCAACTCAAGTAAACTCTTCCATTCATTGATCTGGACGAGTCCATTATGGTCTACAGTGGTGAAAGGGTTAACCCTCTCATCGATCCCTATCTAATTTTATTTAACTCTACCCTGCATTGATGTGGACGAGTCCATTCTGATCTACAGTGGTGAGAGGGTTAATGTTGAACGTCAAGCAGAAGGAAAATTAATCCCACTCCTGGTTACATTATGGCCAAATCAAATTAGAAGACATCCGGGTGGTCCTGTGGCAGAGTGGATAACACACTCGCCTTTCATCAAGGCGGCCAGGGTTCGATTCCCAGGGCAGATGTGAAAAAGGTATTGGGTTACCTGCCTGATCATGTGGGTTTTCTCCGGGTACTCCAGTTTTCTCCCACATTAAGATATCATGCGCTAACATCAGGGCCAATAACTTTGATTAATATAAGTTGTAATAACTTGTTTCATAATTGTTGTAAAATAAATCAGTTTATTTTAAGACTTACAGTTGTTGAACTGATACAATCCAGACGGGATGTCGATAAAACAAAAAACAAAAAGCCACTTTTTAACAGAATAAAATGACCTTGTCTTTACTCTTTAAAATATCTTAACAATATTAAGGCAGTGAATAACAAACCTGTTTGATCAACATTAACAGGACTTATTTAAAAAAATTAAAAACAGCACTTAAGCATTATATATATATAGATATGAATATAATGTCAGCATTTCCATTTCCATTTGGATTTCCTTTATCCATCCTCTAAAGGAACAAAGTCATCAACCTAAAAATAAAGAAATAAAAGTTGTTAAATATTTTACAGCTACGGCCCAACTTTATAATCATCAAGTCAAAATCTTATGACAAAAAAGAAAATTTGGTGTTTCCGATAACCTTACTTACCCTAATAACGTGTGCCTACCCTCCCTACATTTTTCCAACATGTTACAGGAAATATAGATTTTTGTGTCCGGCCTTAAAACTGTATGTAAATACTTTTGGGAGGAATTATTTTCCACTGTTGGTCAATGGCAGTAAAATCTTGAAAAAGCAACTCTAACGCCGACAGGTCAGCAATTAATGCCCTGCAATATACCGAACTGTAGCCCCTCCCCATAGTCTATTTTTAGCTACAGTGACCTTGACCTTAGAAACTTTTCAAATCCCTATTGCACATCTACATATAACAGTGTATCACCATGCATGTTAAATTTCAGAAAGGTAAGTTCTTTTGGATTCTGAGATTATAACTGAAAACGAAATTTAGGACGATTAGATATCCCAACAGAAATGGAATGAAATGAAAAGTAAACTCCCTGAGTTAACATTTCATAGGGCTTTCAGTTGACCCTTGACCTTCAGCAATTTCAGTGGTCAAATCACCATTTCCCATAAATTTGAATGGTCTAAACACATGTCGATTAGACTCTTCTAATTAAACCTAGGAGTCAACCTAATTTTTGGTAGCTAAAAACACTTACCATTTCACCCCTATGCAACTTAAGTAGACTAGTACTCCCATGCATTGATCTGGATCAGTCCATAATAGTCTACGGAGGTGAAAGGGTTAAATGAAAGCCCTGAATTTTTTTTGTGTGAAAATTACTGCTTAATCTGTTGATTTTTATCCTTTTTTGAAGATCTATGGGATACAAGAAACTTGTTGAATGAAGTCTAGATCTTATCCTACATCTTGCTTGTAATTGGCATTGCCAGCAGATGAGGTGAAATTTCAGACCTAATAATAGTACACTGCAAATTTGCCATAGATCATGCAGTTTTGTTAGATATCTTTTAAGTCTAAATATTGACACTACCTTTTCCTGAAACTTGTTAATATTTAACCTTCGACATGGAGGTAAAGGTCACAGTGACCTCTACTAAAAGTACAGTGATAGCAGTATGTTAAAAAATGACTGACAACATTTTACTCAAGTTAAACATAAACTTAATTGTGGAACAGTGTACACATTCTGTGAGCAATACACGTACGATTCAAGTTTCATCAACCTATTTGGAATGGTTTGAATTTATGAGACAGATGATGCTTTCAAGGTTTTGGACACTTGACCTCTGACCTTGAAGTCCACATCACGGTGACCTCATTATGACATACAGCACAGCATTTGTGTACATGATGCAGATACAGGTACACATCAAAATCCATCGATGCAGTCTGTATGATTAACGGTCTAAGAATTATGACAGTTTAATTTGAATGTTGCAAGACCTTCCATGCAACACATCAATAAATGAGAGTGATGCAAAGATCTAATTTTAATTAGATTGGGAAAACCACCACAAATTGAATGCATGTTTTGGTTATATCTTAAATTACAGGCAAATTTGGGATATACCTTAAATCACAGGCATATTTTGTATAAACACCTTAAATTACAGGCATACTTTCTTTCTATCTAAAGTATTACAAACAGTTCTAGGTGAAGGTAAAATAAACTTACAAAGTCCGGCATTAAGCTCCAGATCGTCTATAGCAATGTCTCCCCTCCAGTCGCTCCCTCGCACACCCTCAATCGCAATCTGCAAAATACAAAAAGGAACAGGATATTTCACTGTTTAAATATCCAGGCAATAAGCAATAGAAAGGTCATTACTAAGTCGTCCTTAAAAAAATAAGAACATTAATTTACACAAACCCTTTCTATTTTTTCCTAACTGGATTGACCGACTATTTATAAACTTAAAAACATTTTCAACAATAATGAAATACATTCTCTACTTATATTAATCACTGTTGGTCCAGATGAAAGAGCCAAGGGCTTTTGAACGTGGAAGGAAACCAGCATATCAGAAACCCAACCCTATACAATTAACTAACAAATCTAAAACCCACGTAGTCGGGCAAGTAACCGCCTAAATTTTAACCATTTCAATGAGATCTCCCTCATTCCACATTTCAAATGATGGAGAAAGTGTACAAAATGTGACCGAAACTGCTTTGCTTAATTTATCTTTCAATTTTTAGGTATCAAAATATCTACAAAAAGCATTCATTTGATTGGCATACACCTGACATACACCTGTTATGATCATTACACATACCCCGCAGTGATTAGGAGATCGTTTGACAACAGGATGTAGATTTTGAGTTTGTGCGAGTTTGAACTTGCAATTGACTGAAGAAGTTTCGAGGGAGATTGGTACATTTGTCAAAATGATGAGTCTTCCTCCTAATGATGGAGCTTAGACAGCTGTGGTATGGAAGTCCCTGAATATGACAAACCTATTCAAATTCTGTCCTAAATGATCAGAAGCTATAGTCCTTCAATATCACACATGCTGATTATTTTTCATTTGTGATTTTATTCTATTTTGCCTATACCTGTTGATACATTAAAAAAGGTTATTTGAAGGTCATTTGCCATAATTGTATATTTACATAATAAGTGATGAAATTAATGCAATAAATTTTGAAAGTAAAACTTTCCCTTAATTTGAGAATACACTATCGGCTTGAAAATACAATAAATGCACGTTTACTAAAAGTTTACACACTGCAAAAAATGTAGTTTAACTAGACAAATCTAAAATACTCTAGAAATTGTTGGGTAACAATTTTTCAGGCTTTTCACCATTAGGAATGATTTGAGTTTGGTAACAACCTTTATATCATGGTCTTTTGTTTCATACACTTGGTTCACAGCCACGACTTTGAGGAACAAAATGTGCTGTGTAAATAGTCAATGAAAATTCAGTTATACTAAGTATCAGACACCAACTATTGCAAGTTGTCTATGGTAACTGATAGCGTATTGGGGTATCCCAGAGTGGGAAATGACGTCGGAGATACAGGGGATTAATATAGGCAGGGATGTGTAGTGGTATAGGCATGCAGCCATTGAGTGGTGTTGCATACTAAGGAAGTCCGTTCTTCGCGGAAATCATATATTTCTTCAGCTATGACTATATACTTGCTTCAAAATTATGAATTAAAACTTATTTTGTCTACTGTATCACACGAATGGTTCATGGGTACTTTCCTTCATGGTTTGAGGCCATTTAGATAGTTTCGTGGTACAAACTTTCATGAATATCCTATATTAAAAACAGTAGACATGAACATCATTCAAATCTGTATTTATTTTCGTGGTTCAAAAACGACCACTAAAACCATGAATGTTTACACACAACGAACATTTCATACTATACATTATATCAGTACAGTTTGGCAAGCAAAAGAATGATTCGAACCGTACTATACATGTTAACTACGTAGTATTACGTATTATATTAAAAGCTTATGGACTGGGGGATTATAAGCTACATGTGGTATGGACTGGGGGATTATAAGCTACAGGTGGTATGGACTGTTGGATTATAAGCTACATGTGGTATGGACTGGGGGATTATAAGCTACATGTGGTATGGACAGGGGGATTATAAGCTACATGTGGTATGGACTGGGGGATTATAAGCTACATGTGGTATGGACTGGGGGATTATAAGCTAGATGTGGTATGGACTGGGGGATTATAAGCTACATGTGGTATGGACTGGGTGATTATAAGCTACATGTGGTATGGACAGGGGGATTATAAGCTACATGCGGTATGGACTGGGTGATTATAAGCTACATGTGGTATGGACTGGGGGATTATAAGCTAGATGTGGTATGGACTGGGGGATTATAAGCTACATGTGGTATGGACTGGGTGATTATAAGCTACATGTGGTATGGACAGGGGGATTATAAGCTACATGTGGTATGGACAGGGGGTTATAAGCTACATGTGGTATGGACAGAGGGATTATAAGCTACATGTGGTATGGACAGGGGGTTATAAGCTACATGTGGTATGGACAGAGGGATTATAAGCTACATGTGGTATGGACTGAAGGTATATAAGCTACATGTGGTTTGAATTTTGGGTATGATAAACTCAACATGGTATGGACTGGGGATATATTAAGCTTAATGTGATACTGTATAAGGCTATGATAACTCAATATGGTACAGACAGTGGGGTTTGCGGGTGAGGGGTAATTTGAGCTTACCTGGTAATGTGGTACGGACAGGGGTGTATAATAAGTTCAACGTAAATGGTGTGAGGGTATTATATGCTCAATACGATACGGACAGGGGGGTCAGTGGGTACATTAAGCTTAATATACTACAGTCTGATGTTATCATTAGCGCAGTGTGGCTCTGTGTACTAGGTGGCTTAAATAAATGGATCAGTTTACCAATCAAACTTACCACAAGATCAGCTGCTGTTGGCAAGCTGACTTCAGTGTACACCCAATCGTTTCCTTGTGCACCCGACAAGCTCCAGACCGTTGTTTCAGAACCTCGCTCGCCGGACAGCACAATTAGATCCCCAATTGAATTACCCTTCATGTGAAAGTAAAACTGCAGGCATCGATTCATGGCTGAAAAAAAGAATTGACTGTAAAATTGGATTTCCACAATATACAGCATAAAGATTGGATATTAGTTTCCTATACTTTACCCAGAATATGTTACTTGTGGATAAAAGAACAATACAGTGGAATCCGCCTTACCCACTGCAGAAGTAATCCAACATCGTTTATTGTATTTAACATAATTAGTAGGGGTGTCAATACACCTACAGTGTATCATGATATATCGTCATTGGAAAAAGGTATTCATTTTAACTCATTCTCCCCTACTTATTTAAACTGGACTTTGATTTGGTAAGGTTCAAATGTGACTTTAGGGGCGAATGGTTTAATTGTTGTCAGAATTATTATCAAACTGTATCTTCTTTAATATGGATATAGCAAAGATTTACTTTTTTTTTTTTTTTATACATCAACCATCGATTATGAAATTTCAACTGATTCCCACCACTAGTTATAATCCTGTGTATAGTTATTGGCATATCTGCAAAGTTAAAAAATATTGCGATACAGTGATATTAAATTCATTTTTGTATTACAATAGCATACATGCCTGTGTTTACAAGTTTACCAATACATTGTGACAGCAAGCCCTAGAAACTAGCACACATGAAAAATTGGCTGGAGGGGACGCTTTTAACTCATCTCACCCGAAATTTTATAATGATCCATTCCAACCTTTGAATTGAAAGAGTTCAAATGTGTCTTCAGGGGTGAATGGATTAAGAAAACAAAACAGATTGTGGCTATTGCTGTATATGCCACATGATACTGTATACAGGGAAATGTTCACGCTTTGACGGCAAAATATGTTTTCACCCAACATTAAATCTGCCTTTTACATTTAATTATTATGTTGCTTGGGAAAGAAAGCATTTATATCAATGCCCGAAAAAGAGAAGAGGCACTTAATATAAGGGAAAGGGCTCTTACTATATATTGAAAAATGTTCGCCAAGACAAACTTTCGCCCTTCACCTGTAAAATCCATATTTGCCCATTTTTAATTTGCCCTTTACATTTAATTGCTGTGTATATTATGTTGTTTACTTATATTTGCTGTAATGATAAATTCTTCATCACAGAGGGTGAAAAAGGCAAAAATTAAACTGCAGAAAAATATTCCCGGTATACTGTATGAATAGACACAAATTGGATCATATGTGTGGTTTCGAAAACCATAACAGAGGCATATTACAACCTGTATTTAAGAAGATAAATCGTACGGAAAGGTGACACGTGGTTTGATAAACTTAACTGCCGCAACACACTAAGTTTTGGACCTACGTAGGAAAGTAGTCTGCTCAGAGCTGAGGATTGCATTATCTCCACTAATTCTAGGGGAGGAAGCTTCGATAAATGCATATTTTGATCCAGTGTGGGCATTATCTGGTCCAGTGTTTGAGCTTGGGGTGCCTCCCTAAAAAATAAACAGTAGCAAGCGTAACACAGGGCTGAAAATAATATACTCCTGAGCTCCCGTGGCAATGCGACTTCCCTAAAATCATTCTCATGCATCGTTTTACCTCAGTGTATGAAAATATGGCAATGTAAGAAGAGCATTTGAACTGTATTACTTATTAACCCTTTCACTCATAGGTAACTTGAGTACTCTCCCATTCATTCATCTGGATGAGTCCATTTTGGTCTACAGTGGTGAAACGGTTAAATTTCAGAACTATTTCTTGAATGTGCATGGTGAAAGGAAAAAACATACTGTATTTGACCAACTTCAAGCTTAATTAGGAATTTTTCATATATTCTTTTCACCTTTAAATAATTAATTTTCATAGGAATTATCTTCCTTTGTATATATTTCAAACCATGAAAATAACTAGAATTACACGTAATGATACGTTTCGCTGTAACACCCGCTTGTGTTCATGCTTATAGCATTTTCAAATAAATTCAAATTCCGTCGGAGAGGAGAATCTTCTTAACGAATGTATTAAAATGTTAATATGTTATTAATATAGGGGATGGGTGCGTGGCCATGTGTGTTGGTCAGTGTGTGTATAGCCCACCACTACCTCCCCCCCTTCCTTTGCCCCCAGGGGATGGGAGGGGGAGGAGATGCTATCACTGACCTTGGCACTTTGCATGCTGTGCTACATGAGTCAGAAGGAGAGTGGTCAAGGACCAATCAATGTGGTGGTCATCAGTACACTGACCAATCAAATTACTCATGCAGCAGGCGGGAATGGGGCTCAGCGTCCCTCCCTGGACAAAGGGATCACTTTATAGCATGCTTGGCGAGTTAGCTATATTCTGTCATAGAGTGCAGAATAATCTGACCAATTACTAAATTAATTAAAAATTAAAGAAGTCTGTTTTCTGCCCAAGAAATGGAGCCGAGCATTTGAAATCTGTTTCTGACCCGCAATACAAATGGAGCCAAGCATTTGAAATCTGTTTCTGACCCGCAATACAAATGGAGCCGAGCATTTGAAATCTGTTTCTGACCCGCAATACAAATGGAGCCGAGCATTTGAAATCTGTTTCTGACCCGCAATACAAATGGAGCCGAGCATTTGAAATCTGTTTCTGACCCGCAATACAAATGGAGCCGAGCATTTGAAATCTGTTTCTGACCCGCAATACAAATGGAGCCGAGCATTTGAAATCTGTTTCTGACCCGCAATACAAATGGAGCCGAGCATTTGAAATCTGTTTCTGACCCGCAATACAAATGGAGCCGAGCATTTGAAATCTGTTTCTGACCCGCAATACAAATGGAGCCGAGCATTTGAAATCTGTTTCTGATCCACAATGAGTTGTAAACTGCATTTACCTACACAACACCCAAAAAACCCAGTTTCCCCCAAAAATTGATATAGTCATTTGAGCAAGAAACCTGCATTTTATGCTGAAGTACTGTGTTTACTGAAGGTTTGCATAAAATTGGAAGTAAATCAGACAATTATTAAAGTTATGTCCAATTCTCAAAATCACCCAAAATTGTATGTTTTCTGCCAAAAAATTTGTTGTGGTAATCTCAGTAAAAAACTTGTATTATATATTAAAGTACTGTGTATTCTGAAGGTGCGTATGAAATTTGAAATTAATCTAACAATTAATAAAGAGGTTATGTCCAATTCTCAAAATCACCCAAAATATGTGTAAAAAAAAAAAAAAAAAAAAAAAAAAAAAAAAAAAAATCCCCACTTTGACTTCAAAGTATAAAACGTAGACTCCAAAAGAACTTTCATGGAACACCATAATGCCATTATTAACTGATTAAGAAGCATATAAAGAAAACTTAACGTTGAGCTACACGCAATGTTTGACCCCCTCGCCGCCACTGCTACCTGATTTATAGTCCAATCAAAACTGTCCACTGCAGCATTGACCTGCTCCAGAAAACAGTAGGCTCCATCTTCAAATGTGCAGGTCCCAGGAACACTCCCTGGTAAAATGAACAACCAAATGTAAAAATACTTCAGGGCCAATTTAAATCCGATGTATAATTTGTAATTTCTTTAATTAACTCATTCACTCCTGAAACCACATTTGGACTGGTCCATTTCAAAGGGTGGAATATTATATTTTTGGAAACTATTTTCATCAATGACTCGGTACCTAGCAAATATTCAGGGTTTGAGAACAATATTATACAATAATTGAGCTATTTTCAGGTGAATACCAGGATTTGTTAACCCGAGAAGGTTATATTTCCCGGAGGCCAGAGGCCGAGGCAAATTATCTCCTTCGAAGGTTAATAAATCCTCATATTTACATGAAAACAGGTCAATAACTGTTTTATTATATGACATTTTTATAAACTTAACCATGTGTAGCACCAATCCATACTTAGCATATTTCGCCATGATTATGGCACCTGCAATGAAATTCTGCCTACACAGAATATATGTCTCTGTGCAATTAAAATGACCTTATATGAGCTGTTAATAAGATCAGAAACACTATACTGCGTTATGTGAGTAAATGGGAAAAACTCAATCATACAAATTTATTATTTATTTCATTTAACAATTTATATGCATTGAAAGTAAACTTTCAACGGTAACAAGAGGCCCAAGGGCCTTAGCGGTCACCTGAGTTATATCATAGGTACTGGTAGCTTTATTTTATTGTTTTGATGTGATGTTGAAATCAGAATGTGAACTAAATACAAGAGGCCCAAGAGGGCCTGTATCGCTCACCTGAATATTTAAGCAGTCATAGCAAAATATTCCCATTAAATATTGTATTGCACTAAAAATACTTCCCTCACAAACTTTGTTGGCTCGCTCTGTTGAAACTACCAGCAAAATATTATTACAAGATTCTATGCTTTTGATTCTTCAGAAGTTGCTCGACATGTTTTTCCTGTGACCTTGTAAGTAGGTCAATGTCATTTTCCTTCTCAAATTGGTAAGCTCTATTCCAAAAGCTACCAGCCAAATCTTATGAATCCATTCCTTTTAGTTCTTAAGAACAAATCCATTAAAATGTTATTGACCTCTGTGACCATGAAAGTAGGTCAAGGTCAATTTCATTCGCAAACTTTGTTGGGCTCTTTCCCAGGAAATAACCAGCTGAATATTAAGGTTCTATAACTTCCAGTTCCTCAGAAGAAGTCATTTGAAGTGTTTGACATATCTGCCTCATGTGACGTTAAAAGTAGGTAAAGGTCATTTTCATTCTCAAACTTTGTTGGGCTTTTTCCTAGGAAGCTACAAGCCAAATATAAAGATTCTATACCTTTCAGTTGTTCAGAAGAAGTCGTTTGAAGTGTCTCGACACATTTGACCCCTATGACCTTGAAAGAAGGTCAAGGTCATTTGCTTCCTCAAACTTTGTCGGACTCTATCCCAGGAACCAATCAGCCAAATATGAAGATTCTATACCTTTTAGTTCTTCAGAAGAAGTCGTTTGAAGTTTGACATATTTGACCCCTGTGACCTTGAAAGTAAGTCAAACTAATTTTCTTCCTCAAACTTTGTTGGTCTCTATCCCAGGAAGCCACCAGCCAATTATAAAGATTCTATACCCTTCAGTTCTTCAGAAGAAGACATTTGAAGCTTTTTACACATTTGATTCCTGTGACCTTGAAAGTAAGTAAAGGTAATTTTCATTCTCAAACTTTGTTGGGCTCCATCCCAGGAACCAATCAGCCAAATATGAAGATTCAATACCTTTTAGTTCTTCAGAAGAAGTCGTTTGAAGTGTTTGACACATTTGACCCCTGTGACCTTGAAAGTAGGTCATAGTCATTTTCATTCTCAAACTTTGTTGAGCTCCATCCCAGGAGGCCATCAGCCAAATATGAAGATTCTATACCTTTTAGTTCTTCAGAAGTAGGTCAAGGTCATTTTCGTTCTCAAACTTTCAGGCTCCTACCAACAAAGCTTTCAGCCAAATATCATGACTCTAGGCCTATCCGTTCTTGAGAAGAAGTTGTTTAAAGGAAAAGTTGACGGACGAGGACGGAAGGACGGACGACGGACGCCGCACCACGACATAAGCTCACTTGCCCTTCGGGCAGGTGAGCTAACAATACTAATGTCATGTCATCAAAGGATAAGAATTTGAAAATATTGGTAAATGTTCCCTTTGGGGCCCCACCCCAGCCCCTGGAGATGGGGCAGGAATCCCAATTTTACAAAGTAATACTCTCATTCACCAAAGATGATTCTCACTAAGTTTGAGTAATTTTCTGCTGAAAAAATATACCCAAAAGCGTTATTTCCCTATATAAACTGTAGTAAACCTTACCCCCTCCCAAAGGGAGAACGAATAGCTCGGGGGTTCTGAAATTAACGAGTTAAATAAAGCCCCTGATGATTTTCTTTCCATGCAGAGAAAATGAATGTAGTACCTCCGAGTCTGGAGAAGATTTTTTTTTAAATATTGGTAAATTTTCCCTTTGGGGCCCCGCCCTGGCCCCTAGGGTTGGAGTAGGAATCCCAATTTTACAATTTTGTAGCCTGATCTACCAAGGATGATTCTGACCAAGTTTGAAAAAAATCCATCCACAGGTTCTTGAGAAGAAATTGAAAAGGAAAAAAGTTTACGCACCACGGACGACAACAGACGGAAAGCGATTAGAATAGGTCACTTGAGCAAAGCTCAGGTGACCTAAAAATACAGTACCGTGTAACGGAAACGCTCGAGTCTCAGGTGACTAAAAATACAGTACCGTGTAACGGTAACGCTCGAGTCTCAGGTGACTAAAAATACAGTACTGTGTAACGATAACGCTCGAGTCTCGGGTGACTAAAAATACAGTACCGTGTAACGGTAACGCTCGAGTCTCAGGTGACTAAAAATACAGTACCGTGTAACGGTAACGCTCGAGTTGTTTTGTTACGTATCATCAAACATTTTGTTGCATTCAGTACATTCAGCGTCGTGCATTATATCCATGTTACAACCGACATTCCAAAGGCATCGGTTGATACCATGCCGGATACTAAAGAGAGAACTACGTTGATATTTCTCACCGTCTTTCCTACTCATTTCCACATAAAACTTCCGAAGAAAATTGCAGAGTTTGAGCGCCTGCATGTCAGTCTGTGTCTATTGCTTTTTCTTTTAAATCCATGCAATACACAAACGGACGTGTCGGTAGCTTTAACAGTGTTTCTAGTATCCTTTTGCACCAAGATAGTTTTAAGTTGGTCATCGGAAACAGTTCCAAATCTTGACAAGCCTGGTTTGTTTACAGTGTCGTCTGCCATTTTCTCTCCAGTGAGGCAACGACAATTTGTGTTTCCGATATATTCACTTGTGAGGCGCCCAACAGGGTTTTGGACCATTATATTCACCTCGTGTGCACGGATTCTGTAGATTTTGGGATAACATCGCAATATATTTAGACCTATTAGGTGTTTTGACCAATCAACATGTGGGAATAATGACAGTTATATAATAATCAACCATATTAACTCATTCACCCCTGAAATTTCATAACGAACTATTCCAACCTTTGAATTAGAAGAGTTCAGATGTGTCTTCAGGGGTGAACAAGTTAAGGATCCCTGTTCTACTGCAGACAAACCGGGCATTCCATTATATATATTTTTTCATATATACAGTAACCTCCCCTTAATTTTGTTTCAGATATAAATTGTAGCACAGTTGGGCGTATTTGTATTGACCTGGTAGCTCAATTGATTAGAACAATACTTTCCCATTAAAAGTTTCCAATGTGTCTTTTACAGTTTTTGGCAGTGGTACTGGGATCACCCCTAAAATGCATTTGAACTCTTCCAATACAACTGTTGGACTGGTTCATTATGAAATTTCAGGGGTGGATGAGGGAGGAAGTAATAGTGCAGTTTGTGATTATTAGCAGTGTTTGAAATATCTGTATTTAAAATTAGTCAAGTTATCAACAATGTATTGTTGAGCAATACAAATCCTGCTAATCATCCCAGAAAAAACTAAAGCTATAAAGTGGAAACTGATTTCCTATTTATAGTAACAGTGACCTTGACCTGTGACCTAAAGAATCAAGACATTGCAGGTTTTTTCTTCTTCTCAATGATGAGTTGCTGGTCCTTCATCTTATTTAATTATTAAAATACCATAATTTCATATAATATATAATCATGATCAACCATTGAGGACTATGTTTCTATTTCCGCCGTCATATTATCACCCTTCAGGTCCATATAACCATATTCATTTCAACAACTCCATTGTTGACAAATATCAAGGCAGACGTAAGGTAGCGGCAAGGCGACCGCGCGGTCGGACAGACTAACGCAACCACTACGCACCTGGAGTATATAAGCAGGGGTTTGCCACACACATCAGGACATTTCACACCAAATTTCAGTTTCAAACCATGCCTCCTAAGAAGAGATTAGCAAAGGAGAAGGGGAAAGGTGGGCAGGCTAAAAAGAATACCAACCGAGTCTCTGATGAGCCGGAGGAGCAGCAGGGAGGAAGAAGAAGGGGCAGAAATACAATCTGAGCAGGACCATGATCCTGATGCAGAGGATGAGTCTCCAGCTCTCCAGCGTATTGTGGAGTTCTATGAGGCCCATCCATACTTCTACAATCTGAGAAGTACCGCAACACCAAGCTGAAGGAGGCGGAACTGGCGGAGCTGGCTAAGGAGATAAAGTGGACTGGTGAGTAGTGAAGGTAATCCTGGTACATAGTTGGCACTCTCAGTACTTTGACCATGTCCTCATTTCTGTAATTCTTGATTACTGATTTGTATTGCATTTCAATGTCATATGAACAATTCTTGAATTGTGTACATTCATAATATTCACTTTCCTCCGACACCTTCTAATGGGATTTTTTTTTATTGTTTGCAGTATATAAGATCAAGAGAAGGTCCAAGAACCTTCGTAGTGCCTATGGCAAGCTTAAGAACCGGACCGGATCTGCGGTGAAGTCGGGCCAAGGTTGTAAATTGTCAAACACGCCTTGGTGATCTTGGTGGATGTCTCGGTGGTGGTCATGAGGGTGGTGAGGAGACACCGGAAATGGTTGGCAAGGATGCCGAAAGCATTCTCAACCACCCTCCGGGCACGGGAACACCTGTTATTGTAGATCCGTTCGTCGTGCATGAGGTTCCTGTGGGAGAAGGGCTTCACAAGGTATGTTCGCATGGGGAACGCATCATAGCCGACGAAAAAGTATGGCACGTTGTGGTCGTCGTTGGGGAGGGGCCCCCGGGGGAGGGAAACCAAGTCTCCCTTCAGTGAGGTCGGGCTCAAGGGAAGACCGGTTGAAAATCCCTGCATCAGAGGCAGCTCCTTCCGCACCCACATGCACCCACAGGAAGCCCTTGGCCACCTCCTTCCATCCAGCAGGAGTTGAGGGGGTCACGAACACCTCATCCCGGTACTCTTCGGAGATCGCATCGCACACCTGGGGCACAAACAGTGATATTGTGTTATGTGCCACCCTGAAGCTAAATGCGCATCATAGGTAGGAGTTACCCGTTGCCGGAAACCGGAGTGTTATGGCTAGCTTTAGGCCTGGCGCAAGGGGGGCCTGGCACCGTCGCTTTTGGTGATTCTGGGAGCGACACGGACCAGCATTTCCTGGAACATTGCAGGTTCCATCCGCAGAAATGCTTTAAAGCCACCCCTTGATTCATGCATAAGCTCCTGCATTAGGTTGACGTAGTGACCCAGGCGACACGCCGCAAGAGCCAGGGCTTCACCCACATCATCCTCCTTCTTCTTGTGTGCTGTCGAGCCTGCCGCTGCTCCTCGAGTATAAGGGCTGCAATCAGGTAGTCTCGCTCTCGATGTACCTGCCTCAGCTGCATCCGTAGGTGGTCCAGCCTCAGCCGTTGTGGAACACTCATCACCATCTTAACTTTGTCTACAATCTATTTGACAGATATGAAAACTGGTATATATATCCGCCCCACGCATGGCGCAGATTGCCACGGGGGCCGTACGAATGGCGTGCGGCGGGGGTACGGAAGCCGTGCGTGGGCCTTGCGTTGCCTGCAGTGTGTGTCACATACCGCAAGGCCACCGTACGGGCACCATAGGGCCGCCTTAAGGCTGCCTTAGGGTGCCCGTGGTATTCCTGCGGCCGCCACTATTTTTGGGGGTTCAAAAAAGTCAATTAGCCGCACGGCAAACGCAAGGCCACCATACGCCCGATGTATGGTCGCCGTGGAACAGATTTACGGCATGGCTACGGCGTGCCTAATTGCTACGGCGAACGTAGAAATGAAAAAGGTTATAACTCCGCGTTATAATCCTACGGCGACCCCTACGGCCTGTAAAAGATAGGGAAACGCCCTACGGCGACCGTGAGGCCACCGCAGATTATCTGCGGTCGCCGCAGGTATCTTTCGATTTCAGATCTATGGCCGCTGTATCCTAGCCGTAGAGCAAATGTGACTTAGGCATTAAGAATCACATTTAGTCTCGTGTACATGTTTACAATTGTAGCATTTTTCGAGTCGAAGTTCCGATGTTTCAATTTTTTTTCGATGGTCCCACAAAGATCAAAGTTTGACTGTATTAATATAGTATGTTACAATTCTTAATGCAATATGATACTGTGAAATCACTAATTTTGTGGGGTTTTAAAATTTTGTTGATTTAGTGACTAAATTATCAACATTAAAGATTATATAGGTCGAAATCTACAAATCAATTACAAGTTACATAAACTTGTCTCCGTATCATGCGAGTACTCTTAATCCACGAATTAATGTTATCCACGATATGGCGTGTTTTGGGGGGAAATCACAAAATTTGGGCAATACAAAAATATGATTTCACAGTATGCTTCAAAATACCAACTTGACAGCTGTTAAATCAACACTACAAAGGGTTCTTTGTGGTGTAGAATAAGTCTATTTGTAAATTTAAAAGTTTTCAAAGTAAACAGTCAATCTTTTTTATCAATTTATCAAATGAAAGACATAAATGCAATGAAAGGTGACATTTGTGCGACTATAAACCCAGATATGTATTTCTTTATTCTGGTTTAATCTTTCCTGTCACAGTTGTCTCCCTTACCACATGTTCCTGTTTTCAGCTCCACGTCATCAATAGCAATGTCACCGCTCGAACCATCTCCTCGGACTCCAGTGATGTAGATCTACAAAGGCAGATATAATCAAAAGCAATCAGCAGAGAAATCTCAACAGTAATAGTATAAGCATCCTCAATACTTTAGGGGATATGCTCATTTTCGCCAATTGCTGCACGCCTAGATTATGTCAAGGCCAAATTGAAGGCTCGTGTCCACTACATTTTGGATGAGACTAGGAGACTAGTTTGATCCCTTGGTGTACATCAAGAGAATCTCAAGGCCACTTAAGGGCCAGGGTGCAGAGAACAAAAGTATGGAGGATGCATATTAATATACCGAGGCAAACAAAGAGTCGCTTTACATCGTTACATGATACAGACCTAAAGTGGTCTGCTATTTTATCCAGCAAAGATGTCACAGTCCGCCTGTGTGAACAGTTGTTGCTTCAAGCCATGTTCGATTCCAATTAAGTTATAATATTCACTCTGCAAGGACTATACCCCCATACCTGCCAAGTGACCCGATTTCGTCGGGTTACACCCGGGATTTTAGCCCTTCACCCGCCGGGTTACGATTTTGACCCGGATTTCGTCAATTTCACCCGTTTTCACCCGGAATCTTTTCGTATATTAGAAGTTACCGAAGTCACTCGGAATTCTCGAGACTTTTCCATCCTTCTTCACAAGAAAGACGATCTATTTCCTGTTTCCGTTTCTCACCAACAGGTAAGTTGTGAGTTGTTTATATACGTACTAGAAATGTTTTTACAAATGTTTATAAAGAACGTTGTTACTGAACTTGCCGACAAGTTATTAGTCAGGTTTTTAACGAATAATTGAGGTGTATTTACGTAGAATAGATTGTATTTTGAAGGTAACGTTATGTCTTCTTGAAGGAAGAAGTTTTTATCGGGACTTGCAGGTTCTACTACACGAATTGCTAAAAGAAAAGATAATTGTACACATATCAAATGTCATAGGAAAATGAGTTATAGTGTACAAAGTCCCGTGGTCGTGGACCAAACGCTGCATTCTGCACTCTAGTCAAAAACACGCACAGGCATTCGATGATTTGTTTCTGTCAATCAAAATGATCCTTACAATAAGAGTTCAAACCCTACTCGTATAAAACTGATATTTTATATGAGAAGGGTGCAACTTCTTGTTGTCAGGACCATTTTCATTGACAGAAACAAAATGGTATTTTATATGAGCAGAATGTGACATCTTATTGTCGGGACCATTTCAAATGCCTGTGAAAACACAGTCATATATATTATTATGAATTAATTTTATAAGTTGTGTTGTTGACAAATCTTTTTATTTTTCAGCTTTGAATTTGGTATTGTGGATGAGGATCAGCTAGATCTGCTGGAAGAACAGTTCAATGATTGTAGAATGTAACTTTTACATCATTAAAATATTTAAGTTATAATTTAATATCTATTTTTCTTATATTTGTTGAGAAAAAAAGCCATCGCGCACTATGACCCTCTTTTTAATTTTCAAAAGAGGGTCATAACCCTCTTTCACTATGTCCAGGGTTGGCAGGTATGTACCCCAAACATTTTGGCTGCAAAGATATACATACCTCATGATATAATACATTGCGATACAATGCTTATAATATACGTTATGCATCATGATACAAATATGATTAAGTTGCTGGATTTTATCGAGTTTTTGTCATAGTAAATACTATCGATATATATTTTTGAATAATTTTTAGTACTTTTGGGTATGACTGCACAGTAGACCACATCTTTCCTGAAGGATTCAAAAAATATCAGTACACTTTTTTTTAGAATTTGATAAAAATTGATTGATAATTGAAATACTGTTGTATCACGATGGAGACAAACAAAACAATTTGATACAATAATACACAAGTATCGAGATATGAAATGATATATCATTGCAGCCCTTACAGACAATTACAAGAGATCCCAGAGGGATCTTGGTGCCCATGCACCTTTGTACCATCTTCATTAGTTCTTTGTCAGTTCAATCTTTTCTCTTCTTTCCTCTGATCTGTTTGATCAAGTCATGTTAACAGTAAATTCACCTTGAGGTAACTTTTGATCTAAACTTAATACTGATGTGTATGAAAGCCAACCTTCAAAGTGAGTTTGTCATTTCACATATTTACAAGTACAGTACTTTAATGAGAAAGAAATAGAATCGATCATTGCAATATGAGAAAGATCTGTTTAGTTCTTCTTTTAATCCATTTTGTTTTAATGATCAGTCTCAAAATATAACATGCACAACGAGAGATCAAGGGGAACCTACATAACAAATTTGAGAAAGATCCCTCTGGTACTTCCCGAGAAATAGCGATAACAAACTTTCACTATCAAAATCCAAGATGGCTGCCTGTCGGCCATGTTGTTTATCCAATCAGTCTCTAAAATTGCCCTGCACAGCCAAGGATCGAGGGGAACCTACAGATAACATGTGAGAAAGATCCCTCTGGTAGTTCTTGAGAAATAGTGATAACAAACTTTCAATATCAAAATCCAAGATGGCTGCCTGTCGGTCATGTTGTTTATCGGATCAATCTCATAAGTTGCCCTGCACAGCTATGGACTAAGGGAAACTTGCATATAAAATTTGATAAAGATCCCTCTGGTTCTTCCAGAAAAAATAGTGGTAACAAACTTTCAATATCAAAATCCAAGATGACTGCCTGTCAGCCATGTTGTTTATCCGATCAGTCTCAAAAGTTGCCCTGCACAGCTATATAAGGACCAAGGGGAACATACACAAAAAAATTGAGAAAGACCCCTATGGTACTTCTTGAGAAATATTGATAACAAGAATTGTTTAAAGACAGACGATGGACAACGGACAACGGACAGACCGCGGACGCAGGCTAATAAAATCTATACGATCTTACGACCCTGACCATATGACCCTGTTTTTGAATTCTGACAAATCCTATCAACCCTTAATTACCAGCATACTTAGTTGCAACTATTTTAAATCTGATGATGGAGTCAATATTAATGTATACAAGCTACATTATATATTGTACATGTACCGGTACATTACCAGGGTTTTTGCTAGGTGATTATAGGATCCGATAGAGGGACCCATTCCAAATTGAAAAATGACCCTGCATTTTTAAAATTTCAGTCTTTATTTGTCCAATGGGATTAAAAAGCATGTTTATAAAGGTTTCCAGTCGTTATAATTGTGCAATGTTCAAAATATTACCATCCACGAAGGAGCATTCAAAATAAATAAATATCGAAAAATTTGAAATTGAATAAACAAAAGCACTGATAAACTAATGTTTATTTTTTGCCATCAATTTTACTGCAAGAAACAGCTACAGTATTGTAGAGGACATTTTGCTAATCACATTATTTTTATACAATTGTAGGAACATTGATAATACATGTATATACCAATTTTTGTCAAATGCTGGCAACATTTTCCGAATTCCTGCTCAGGGGCACTTTCCCAAAATAGCTGGCAAAACCCCTCATATCAAAAGGAGGTAACAGTTGGTATTTTCCCATAATGCATCACTGTACAAACCTGTCCATTGTTCATAGCAGGAATTCGCACAGATGCCGTCTCCCAGTTGTTTCCCTGGTTTCCAGCTCTTGACCACAATGTCATAACCTGCTGGCCATCCAAGTGAGAAATCTCAAGACTACCAATGTCGCTTCCATACATGTGATAGGCAAAGGACAGACAGCACTGAGCAGCTGTAAGAACACATCAAAATTAACATATACCACAAGATATTTTCTTCGGTTAAGCTAAAAAGTCTGCTAAAGAGTACATACAGGTTGAATTATGTGTGAAGAAATATCATGTTTCAACTCATTCTCCCCTGAAATTTCATAATGAACTATTCCAGGCTTTTAATTGGAAGAATTCAAATGTGTCTTCAGGGGTGAATGAATTAATATACAGCATGTAAGTAGTCTAAATATTATCCAATATATTCGGTTTGTGTAAGGGATTGTTTCTACAGGCAGCTGACTTGACATTGTGGTTGAATTATGTGTGAAGAAATATCATGTTTCAACTCATTCTCCACTGAAATTTCATAACAAACTATTCCAGGCTTTTAATTGGAAGAATTCAAATGTGTCTTCAGGGGTGAATGAATTAATATACAGCATGTAAGTAGTCTAAATATTATCCAATATATTCGGTTTGTGTAAGGGATTGTTTCTACAGGCAGTTGACTTGTACGTTCACTTATCTGTTGTTCAAGCATAAAATTTACCCCAAAAACTATCAAGTTTCTGTTTTACCTCCATTAAATGTAACCCCTACCAAAAACAGTACAGATTCTTTTTTACAACAATAAATATTGACCTTGAAAACTTTTTAAACCCCCATTGCACATCTACATAACAGTGTATATCCCCTCTACATAACAGTGTATATCCCCTCTACATAACGGTGTATATCCCCTCTACATAATGGTGTATATCC